GTGTGTGTGTGTGTGTGTGTGTGTGTGTGTGTGTGTGTGTGTGGTGTGTGGTGTGTGGTGTGGTGTGTGTGTGTGTGTACGCGCGCGCGTGCGTGCGTGTGTGCGTGCGTGCGTGCGTGTGTGCGCGTATGTGTGTGTGTGCATGTGTGTGCGTGTGTGTGCGTGCGTGTGTGTGTGCGTGCGTGCGTGTGCGTATGTGTGTGTGTGTGTGTGTGTGTGTGTGTGTGTGAGTGTATGTGTGTGCGTGTGTGTGTGTGTGTGCGTGCGTGTGTGCGTGCGTGCGTGTGTGTGTGTGTGTGTGTGTGTGTTTCTAGTCACCTTTACTCTGCTTTCCCTATTGCTTAACAACTGCTTAACATAGAACTCTAGTGCTGTTGAAATAAAGGTTGGCCTTGAGCACTCTAGATGGAGAGAGCCTCTCCACTGGGTCACATCATTTTGACACAGAACAGCATGCTTTATCTAGTAAGTTTGAGTATGAGTAAGTCTGCTTCAAGGCTTTGTCCTATAGGCCGGGCAATGCTCAGGAGAAGCAAGACAGGAAGCTGCAGGGAGACGCAGCTCCTCTTGTCATAGCTTTTAGAACATGCACCGGGTTCACTATTGAGTTACAGAGTCTCACACTTGCCTGAGGAAGGACAATGAGATGGCTCAGTGGGCAGAGGCACTTGTCACCAAGTCTGACAATGTGAGTTCAATTTTTTGGACCCTGTGGTAGGAGAGAACCAACTCCTGCAAGTTGTCCTCTGACCTCCACACATGAACTGTGGTGCATGCATGGGTGTCCACACATGCATACACAAAATAAATCAAAATAAAAAAATAAACACACTTTTAAAATTGAAAAACAAACAAAAATTACCCAAGGAACTTTACAAATTCCAAACATGTACCTCATACCTAAGATCAATTAAACTAGAATCTCTCAGAATGGGACCCAGATATCAGTACTTCAAGAAAAAAAAAATTCTCCAGGTAATTCCAGTGTGCAGCTGAGTTCATAAGTCAGGCATATGTAGAATTAGAACTAGAAAAATTGGCATGCCACGGAAGATAAGCGAGCAGCAAGGGGAAGAAAGAAAAGAGAATTCACTGAAGTGGGGGCACACAGACCCCCCAAACTGCCTGCTCCTGGAGAAGTTTTAGGATAATCTCATGTAAGTAATGGCGGGCCTGCCTCCCACTGCTTGACTCTAAGAGCCAGAGAAATGCACATCTGATGGGAGCTCTCTGGGTGATAACGAATGTGAGCGAGCGTTCTAGTTTAAAGCGTGAACAGAATGGCTCTGACTGGCAGTTGGTGCTCATGAGGGAATTGGGCTCTGGGTGGTATCAGTCCAGCTGCTGCTTCCCACTCTGGACCTAATGAT